TTAAAAAACAAGTGATCAATTAATATTTTCATCCATAATAACATTGAAAATATGCATACTTTCAATAGTAAACTTTTTTGTGGATTGTTTATTGGACTCTTACTTCATTATAAAGCTTATAGAAATCATTCTATATATAAAAATCGATCAAATAATTGATAAAATAGAACCAAGAAAAAGCCAATTCAAAAACAAAATTAACAAACCTACTGTTGATAAAAACATTCACAAGTAATCGAAATATATGAAAGGATTTCAAATAATATATTTGACAAAAAGACTGGATTGAATCCAAATTTTTCAGTGAAATGATCGTTGAAATTCGTGAATTACTTGGAGAGGGAAAAGATGTTGCTGCTCTCACAATAAAAAATTTCTGCTAACGAGAAACAAAAGAAGAAAGAGTCAGAGAATGAAGTTGAAGAAGATAATAAAAACAACAATGATATGAATATTAGTAATAATATTATTATTGATAATAATAGCAGTAGTAGTAACAAAGTTGAATTTTTGACAGATTACCCAAAGAATAGGTAATAATTACAAATGGCTTTGGGTCCGAGTGTTTTCCCTCATGCAAGCGCTCTGACAATTCTTTAACTAAAATACGTATTTTTCTATTATTAGTTGAATTAAAATAAAAATAATTTTCTTTTGTCATTCGTAAATAAATTCCTAGTCATGTGCCCACTAATTTATCATTGGTCGAAATCATAATAATTACGATCTAAATCAATTAATTTTAGTTTCTAAAATGACAACATTCAACGAAATTAGAACACATACAAAGAAAGCTGAATTAGAATACGAAGAAGCGAAGAAGAAGTTGAGAGTGAGAGGATGGAAATGGGAAGATGTTAAAGGAGTTATGGGAAGGAAAAGAGGAAGGTCGTAAAGGAGAGCTTGATTATTTGAAAGAAGAAAAGAAGAGGTTGGAGAAGAAGGTGGATGGTTGGGAGGTGCAAATGGAGTTGCTGCAAAATAAATTAGGTGAATTTAGCTTGTTGATATTTATGGAAAAACATTCAAATTTCTTGGACGAGATATTACAACACACACACTATGGAATGGTGATTCTGGTCTGAATGGTGTTTATCAAAGATTTCAACAATACAAAAGTGAGGACAAGTAAGTTCATCCAATTCCCCTTCTGGCTGGTGGACCAGGAACTGGAAAGAGCCGTTTTCTTGATGAGGCCAAAACTTTACTTCTTGGCCGTGCTGTTTCTAGTGATAAGACAATCCAGACTGCTTTCCAGGATACAGTTGCAGTGAATATCACCTATGGCAATGGGTCAGCTGTTACAGACTTAGATATAAAAATATGGTGCTGAGGTATCGGCTGGACTTAAGGTTGTGGGCGAAACCTCTTAATGACTGTCGAAACTCTGTCGAAACTCTAATGAACAATTAATGTGTAACCT